CCCCATTTTCGGGAAAAATTTCGATTCGCATTTTCGAATTTGGGTTTTTTTCGGATTCGGCGGGGAATCAAAATTTTTTTCCGTTATTCGATGGGAATTCCACTTCGGTACTTCCCGATTCGCTCATCTCAAATCACCACCCAATAGGTCAAGGGACATGTTAAAAAAAACCTAAACCATGGGGAGAAAATTTTCAGAATCTGTGAATGACGATAAGATAGCGAGGAAGTGCCCCACGCGGGAAATTTTAATTAGTTTTAAAAGGAAATTGTTTTTTAAAAGTTTTTTTTATCTTATTCTTTAAACATTGGCAGTTCTTTTTAAAAATTTTTTTTTTTGTTTCTTCGGCTTTTCGTTTTTCATATATTCTTTGGTCGGGTGGTTTTAAAAAAAGTTGCAGTTTTTTAGAAAATGCTATATTTTTCCTTAAAATTTTCCCGGGTATAAAGACGACTTTTTCCCCCCTTTGGGAAAAAATCCTTAAAAAAGGGGGGGGGGGTTTTGTCTTTACGCCGGTATACGGTTTGCGGGACATTTTTTTGGGGGGCGTTTTCCCCGGTGCCGCCCCCCCCCCCCCCTTCCCAACGGAAAAAAAGGGAAAACATTTAATTACGGGGGGGGGGGCAGGGGCTGCTTTTTCTTCCCTCCGGTCCCCCCACAACGATCCGGTCCAGGAAGTTTGGTATGCTCCCTTCAGTTTCGGCCACTGATGTTCACCGCGGACTGCTCGAGCTTTCAGCCTCCTCACCGGGAATTGGCCGCCAGAACAGTAGCTCCGGAAAGGCACCACAGGGCGGCCAATCACCGGCGAGGAGGCGATAGCCGAGCGGCCCCGCGAAAATCGAGTTGAAGGAGCGGCCGGTAAGTGTGCCGTGCAGAGGTGCTGCTGCTAACCACATATGCTGACTGCAGCAGCACCATACTGCATTAGGGGTCAGCAAGTGTCATTGGTGTTAGTGGGAGGAATAGTGCCCCATCATTTTGTGTCACTGATACCAATGATGGAGCACTATTCCTCCCACTGACACCAATGATGGGGCACTATTCCTCCCACTGATACCAATGATGGGGCCACTATTCCTCCCACTGACACCAATGATGGGGCACTATTCCTCCCACTGACACCAACAATGGGGGCACTATTCCTTCCACTGATACCAATGATGGGGCACTATTCCTCCCACTGATACCAATGATGGGGCACTATTCCTCCCACTGACACCAATGACGGGGCACTATTCCTCCCACTGACACACCAATGATGGGACACTATTCCTCCCACTGATACCAATGATGGGACACTATTCCTCCCACTGATACCAATGATGGGGCACTATTCCTCCCACTGATACCAATGATGGGGCACTATTCCTCCACTGACACCAATGATGGGGCACTATTCCTCCCACTGACACCAATGATGGGGCACTATTCCTCCCACTGACACCAACAATGGGGGGCACTATTCCTCCCACTGACACCAACGATGGGGCACTATTCCTCCACTGACACCAACGATGGGGCACTATTCCCCCCCCCACTGACACCAACGATGGGGCACTATTCCCCCCCCCCCCACTGACACCAACGATGGGGCACTATTCCACCCCCACTGACCACCAACGATGGGGCACTATTCCACCCCCCAGTGACACCAAAACAATGGGGCACTATTCCACCCCCCCACTGACACCAATGATGGGGCACTATTCCACCCCCCCCCACTGTCATCAATGATGGGCACTATTCCACCCCCCACTGACACCAATGATGGGGCACTATTCCACCCCCCACTGACACCAATGATGGGGCACTATTCCACCCCCCCCCCCACTGTCACCAATGATGGGGCACTATTCCACCCCCCACTAATACCAATGATGGGGCACTATTCCTCCCACTGGTGTGCATTGGAAGAGGGGTAGTCTTATACGGCGAGTATAGCCCAAACACTACATTTTAGCAGGAAAAGTAGGGGGTCGTCTTATACGCCGGAAAATACGGTGTATATATATATATATATAAATATATATATATATATATATAAATATATATATATATATATATATATATATATATATATATATATATTAGTTTTCGGTTTCGATATTTTGGGTTGATTCGATATTCATATATCAAAACTATTCGGAAGGGTATGAAATTTTTGGACGCAATAGAATAAATAAAGCAAAATTTGTCAGCCCTGAATTTTTCGACCCGAAGACTTGCATTAGAGAGTGGAACTAAGCTGACTGACTGTGACAATTACCAATTCAATTTAAATAAAAAATTTAATAAAATTTGAAAATTGGATTTATTTCCCATGGACCTAAACTACTATTGCATCATGTGACATCATCTGAATGAAACTAATTAAACTAATGCATTAGTTAATTTTTTTATAACTTTTTTTGGATTCGTTGGCATTGGTTACTATGTCCATTTGGATATTTATGTACATCTGAAAATCAAATTTTTTGTTCTAAAATCAATTATAAAAAGAAAGGCACATGTCTGACTCCCAGTGTCAGATTCTTAATATGAACCCATGGACAGCAGCTGTTCAGAACTGATTCAGAGGAGGAAAGGATTCCAACAAAAGAATGAGGCGTTCTAAGAATCAACAGGCAACCACCAGTAGCTCAATGCAGGGGCGTATTTACCACTAGGCAAACAAAGCATTTGCCTAGGGTGACAATTTTCAGGGGGGCAGCACTGCCCCCCAGAAGGTGCACATGCCGCATGGGGACCAAGTGGGATCCAAGAGAGGCTGCGAGCTGCTTGACGGTGTATGCAGAACCCAACTCTCATTGTCTTGTCGGCCAGCAGGGTGGGAGGTGGTGTTGGTTGGTGTAAGGTTCTCACCTTTGGGGGGGTGGGTTGCTGGTTGGTGTTATGCTCTTGCCACACTTGGGGGGTGGTGTTGGTCAGTGTCAGGCTCTCTCATTTGGGGGGTTGTTGGTCAGTGCTATGCTCTCTCCACTGTAGGGGAGGTGCTGGTTGGTATTGGGCTCTGTCCACAGGGGAGGTTGGGGTGGCTGATGTTTGTGTTGCCTAGGGCAGCACAAAACCTAAATACACCACTGGCTCAATGCCTACCTACGACTTGGCTAGCACCAGCCATGCATTTGTGCTGTTTACCTGGATGAAAGGCCAAGTCATAGTAATGCGGTGTCACATCAGCCACCAAGGATTAGAGCCCATACTAGTGTCCCAGAGGCGCTTATAAACCCTGTATGGCTACCTTCAAATTCAGGAGCAGTTATATTCCCCCCCATTTAAAGCACAGTCAGGCATTTAGGCAGAGACCTAAAATGCTATGCCCATTGATTTTTTTCATATTTATTTTTCAAAGGAGCTTTTTTAAATACATTTGTGGACAAATGCAATCTTTATGCCCAGCAATATATCACCTAAAATCACAGCTCCATTTTTACCCATCCATTTAAGACAACTTTGAGTTTATCTTTATTTTTTCTAATAAAAAGGTATGCGCTAATAACAAACTTATACAAAGGTGTATATCATCATCCAAAAAACATTAGTGTTTTAAATAAATAATTATAGTGTCCAAACATAAATTAGTGTCCAAAAAATATATATATATCTTCAGTGACTTGAACCAATTGTGAAAAAATCCACCATCAAAGGAGATTAAATGAACTCACCAGAGCTAATGGCTGGTCAGATTATAAACCAGCAACAGCGCTTGTGCTCTGGGAGCAATGAACCCGATGTCCAAATAGATATGGTGATGTTTCAGATACTTCCAGATAATAATCACAGCCAAACAACTTTGCAGCCCAAGCTCTTATGATGAACTTCTCCACTCTTTCTCATACCTCCATGAGAGCATGCAGTACACTCAGGGAGAAAAAAGAGAACATAATGGTGCAATACGTTTTTTATCATTTATCTCTTTGTTAAAAAAGGTATAAGGAAACTCACAAACAAGGTGTCCAACAGACACCAGCTTCAATCGCAAAAAAGGGTGAGATACAATTAACGCTCACCGCAGATCTCTCCCATACAGCACAGAACAGCAAGGCTCTCTAACGTCCACATTGTGTAGGCCACGCCCAACCCGTTTCGTCACACCAACGTCATCAAATTTGGTTTGCCCTTTATTTATTTATTTTATTTATTTATTATAGGTGCTTATGTAGCGCTGTCAATTAATGCAGAGCTTTACATATATATATATATATACTGTATACAGTGTATAGTACATTCTCATCAGTCCCTAACCCTCAAGGGACGTACAATCTAAGGTCCCTAACCAGGGGCGGACTGACCATTTGGAAACTCGGGCACTGCCCGAGGGCCAGGGTCAGTAGGGGGCCCCATGAGATGCCCCTGGTGCCTTTTTCATAGGCTTTTTTGAATTTGGGCAAGGACACAGGGGCCCCATGATCCCCTATGAGTTGTCAGTCCGCCCCTGTCCCTAACTTACATTCATATATTTACACACTAGGGCTAATATAGACAGGAGCTAATTAACCTACCAGCATGTCTTTGTAGTGTGGGAGGAAACCGGAGCTTGACATTTTGGAACAGGGACTGCTGCCCACAGTCTATCCATTATGATACTTGTGCTCCTACAATGGAGGCTCTCAAAATGATAGAGTTAGGAACTGCAGAAAAATGGGGTGCCATGAAGTGGCTCTGCAGCTTACGCATGTATTTTCAAATGTGTGAAAACTAAATCCATGTTATTTACGCAAACCGTTAGACATGGCCAATTTGGTTGGTAGCAGGCTAGTCGGTAAGTTGAGCTGGGAATTTTTCTTTTTATTGTTTGACATGTGTCACCCTTCCATATGCTCCTTGCTGTGAAGGTCATAGATTGGGGCAGTGGCCATTTGTTTGTACTGCTATACAAACTGACCACTCACACAGAGGCGACCACTACAGTATATTGTTTTCTATACAGTGTTGGCTGATTTTTGTGATACACAGGTTGCAATGTCTTGCACATAATCAGCCCAAACATTGAAAAGGTTGTGCACATGTGATATCCCCACATTTGGAAGAGTAGCAGTTTTGAAGTGTTATTCAAAATGAACAGGGGCGGACTGACAACTCATGGGGCCCCTGGGCAATAGTGGATCATGGGGCCCCCGTGTCCTTGCCCAAACTCAAAAAAGTCTATGAAAAAGGTACCAGGGGCATCTCATGGGGCCCCCCTACTTACCCCGGGCCCTAGGGCAGTGCCCGAGTTTACAAATGGTCAGTCCGCCCCTGTCTATGAATATCTTTACTGTGTGTTAGAAATATCTTGTAAATGGACAACTTTATCATTCCACATTTTCCAAAAACTTGTGGCAAAAAAAATGACATTTTCAAAGACTCCTTATGCCTCTTAGAAAATATGTTGGGGTGTTTGCTTTCCAAAATGTGATAATTTTGTGAGTGTTTCTACTGTCCTGATGCTCCAAGGCCTCCAAGAATGTGATAGGAAGTCAGGAAATTAGTTGAGTAATTTATAATGTCCAGATTGCTAAACCCTGTGGAGAGAGTCTAGGTGTGTAACTGTGAAGCAATGCTACCCAGTGGAATAGGGTGTCTTCTCCCTCCACTCCTCTGCAAGCTGTACTGGACAACAGCCTGCCTTACTGATATTGTACCTCTCTGTTGCTTTCCCACTTTACATTCTTGGGCACTCAGGTATGGTCATTCCCACCATCTTCATTGTTTGAGCCTACTTGGCAGTAAGCTGTAGCTGCAGGAACATTACTGGCAATTTATTCCATTTGCCTCATGTGTTCTTTTCTTCAACATCTGCGTAAATGACTTACTGCTCATTCTTCAAAAACACTGGTGGGTATTAAGGCAATGCTCTCACTACCGCCGGATCCCAAACAATGGAGCTCCTACCCCTCTTCCGGTTCCAGGTCCATCATTTCCAGTTGCCGCACAGCCTTGCTCTGACGCATTTTGTCATATCCGACTTAGTCATGCATCCCAATGACTAAGTCGGATATGACGGAGCATGTCAGGGCAAGGCTGTGCGGTGACCGGAGAAGTGACGGAACTGGAGGTGACGCCGGAGCTCCATTGTTTGGGATCCAACAGTGGTGAGAGCATTGCCTTGATACCCACCAGTGTTTTTTAAAATCACTTATGGGCTTTTTATCTACTTATACTTTGTAAGTGGCTGTCTTTATAGCAAATAAAGGTATAATTTTGTACTGCACCATTGGGTTTAATTTTTTTGTTTCCACATGACTACTAATCCTGAATGAGAGAGATTAAGGAGGAGGAGAGCGTCATCCATGTTGCTATTAATTCCTTATCATTAGGATCTTGCCAACTTATGAAATGGTGTCAACTGATTATGGCAATTGGAGGATGAGTAGACAGGAGTGTGCTAATACCCGTTTATGATTGATCTCCTTCCCATTTGGATCCACTTAATAAGCGATTTTAGCCACCCAGGAAAATGGGAGGCATGGCTATCTGGTGAGTGCACACCCGAAAGGGGGAACGCTATTTTATTGCACATGGTGATCTTTTGGGAATTGGCAGATTCATTTGGGGGAAAAGACTTTTTATGGACTTTTAGTTTTTTCGCATTTTTTTATCATAAATGTATTTATTTTTATGCACATATATATTTAATTGCGCTACTGAATCACTTTGAAAGTCCTTTTTGTTGATTACATCACCAATCTTGTCTTTAAGTATTACCTAAACCATCCTCCCTGCCACGATCAGGGGTCAGGCTCAAAGACCAGTTGCTATAGCAGTGTAAAGGCTTACCTGAAACCAGGAGGAT